CATCAACAGGTGTGCTTCAACTCCACTCACAGTTCAACACAACACCTGGCAACCACAACTAAACAGCACATTGCTAGTTTAGTATAAATTTCGAATCATCTTTATTTTATTCTCTTGATTCGCATGATTTATTGCCAACGTTACCAAATATTGGGCATTAGTCAAGGAGCATATCCTATTTTTCCCGGTTTGCATCTGGTTAATGATTCTGACTACTGACACACTTTTCAACTTCGACCTCTCCCTTTCCGAGTTCGTGGAGATGCTCTCTGGCAAAATAATGCAGGTCATGGAAGAAACTCAGCGACAAAACCCGATCAAGGGTCCTGTGTTCTGGACTACGCCATCCGAAGTCGATGCTTGGAACATCGCCTTCAGCAGCGATGATGTCTTCAAGACAGACGCAACACAGAAGCCTTCCACTCCGCCGAATCAAGCGTATATTCTGCAGTACCACGACGATATCAAGTGTATTGATTTTCCGCCTGTGTGCGTATCCTGCCCATCGAGTGCCGATAAACCAGGGCCACAGAGTCGCCGAGTAATTCTCGACAACTTACCAGCGGACGTAACCATACCCCAGGTTCTCCGAAGCATCAAATGTTATGGAGGAATTATTTCCACAGTCCTCGCCAACAGTCTGAAGAAAGCAAATACTAGAACAAAGACGGCAATGATTGAGTTTGTTTACCCCGAGGCAGCCGCGGACGTCGTTTCTCACTTTCACGATAACAAGACGGTATTCCTCGACAGCAAAGGTGGCGAACACCAACCAGAGGTATACGTGGTTCCCACGCCATCTTACCTTCATACCGAGGTGAACCACTGTCTGCTCGACAGAGGTTGCACCCGTGCCCTGTTCATACCCAGCTTCCCAGAAGAAGCTATCTGGTACCTAATCTGCACCATTGGAATGAAACACATCAACAATGTCCAACTATCGGATGGTCACCTAACCATAGAGCTTACCTCGCTATTTGAAGCGGATAGGGCTGGGAAAGAAATCAGGTTCGGGAACACCGACATGGAGTACGACGCAACCAAGCACGGCATGTGCTACATTCCCGATTCGTCCCAAGGCGAGATGCAGGACAACTACGACTCCCACAACGGATTCATCGCATTCACTGACACGAATATCTTACAAACAACATGGGATCGGGAACCATACAATAGATACCGTCCGCAACCCCTCCACGAAACTCCCACCGGCAAGGACACCATCAGGCACCCCTCGAGACCTACGTACGAGGAAACCCTCGCCGAGTACTTCTCCGTCGACCCTTCCGAGATATGGAGCTACCTCGAAGATCGCAGGTCGTTCCAGGACACCACGTACAACATCATCGGGAGCACCATTAAACTGACCCGTCGCAAGTGGAGTTGGAGCATCAGCGCCGAAGACGAGGTCAAACTCCTAATGGCGAATACCCTGCACGAACCGGACTGGGCAACTGAATGGGACGAGTACTTCAAATCCAGGGGTATGGCTAATTTGCGAACGTGGGAGGAGTACGGCACGTTGGCGAAGCACCGACGAGAGCGTGCTGCCGAGCAGGGCTTGGCCGAAGGCATAGTACCAATTTGTGATGGATGCCCTTGGGAGTGCGAGGATTTGAAGAAGGTGCCTGTTCCGAAATTTATTCAGGATTATTCTGCCTGTAAACGTGTGGATGCTGAAGCGGAGTAAAGGCTTGGGGTGGTTAATTCCGGTTACTACGAGACAAGATTATTATGCTGTTGCTGGGATTGGGAAAACTGTACAATCCAACGTCATTACCTACTACCCGCGAGTAGGTAGTCCATTTGGGAGAGCGTTATGATGAATTGGGCATTTGCTAGGAATGTATAGGAATGAGCATGATTGATGAAGACTCGATGGACTTATTTTCTTTTCTTCGTTTTGCTATAACAAGATACATCATGAGGAGTTGAATTCAGAGGATTTTAATCGGTGCTTAGTATTTCGTATCCTATTCGGGTATGTGATGCTATTGATATTGCACATTATCATTGTATTAAAATAGACTCCGTAGTATACAATACTGGGCTGTTTTCCCCAAGGCATCGTCTTTTCCCTTTTACCAGCCGAGTGCTTTCTTAACGCCTCAAATTGCCTGCCCAAGATTATAAATCTAAGCACCGTCTTCAGAATTTCCCTCATGCCCAGATGACTATAACGTCATTTTTAATACACACCAAACATCGGAGGTAGTGCCGCGGATGCTTTCTCCGGCAAGTCCCTTGTCTCAGATTCGTCCTCATAGAACGCATCGTAGTCCAGATCATCCCCAACAAATAAGCTACCCTTTTCATTGACTGAATGGGGCGCGCCAAGCAAGTCATCATCTCCTTGGTCCTCCGTCTGGTACATTTCGTTGACAGAGCCAGTAGATGTAGCGTTCGAGTTGCCCCATCCAACCCTCTCCGGTGGTCCTCGTTGACGCTGATTCTGGGCGGCAAGCTTCGCTCTCCTCTTCTTATCCATCTTAAAGTAGTTTCGAATCAGATTCCGTGGAATATTACCTTCTGGCTCCCAGGAAGTTTGCTGGTCTGGTGGCCAATCACCCGCCCAGCGAACGAAGAAGTATCTCACGAGGCCCTGGCCCTCGACATCGTAAAGCGCCATATCCTCTAACCTTTCCACTTCCCAAGTTGGCTCTCCATCTTCCGCAATCTTTTCGATAGGTGGTGATTCTTTGTGTCTCTTTTTGGCGGATTTGGGCCGTGTCGACTTTTTGGTGGAGCTATTGGCCTGTCCAGCAGCAAGGGTCCATGCTGCATTGTCTCTAGTTGACTCTCGTGTGTTGGACATGCTCGGAAATCCTGAACTACCGGTAACGGCATTAAATCCGGCGGCGCTGGAAGAAGTGGTTCCTTCAATAGAGGCTACTAAATCAGTGTGGCCAGGATACTGCGAAGCATCGTCCGCCTTGAACGTCGGGGTTGGTGCTGGTTTTGGTTCTATTGACGAAGTCGCATATTCCAAGATCCCGTTTATGTACGACGGCAAGGGAACAGGTGTATTTATATAGGGCCTTTTAGGCTTCTGTGCGCCATCGCTGTCCACCGTGTCACTCACGAATTGTAGACGAATATCCTCATTTCCAAGACCAGCAGAAGGCACATCCCATGAGTCCTCGCGACCATCTTCCCCAAACATTTCGCGGGCAAGTTGATTCGACGGGCTGTTGTCGTTGTCGGAAAGACCCTCAAAGTCTGCCAATTTGCGCTTCTGCGGGGTAGACAAGCTGATCGCTCCCATCTTAGGGCGAACGACATCGTCAGCTTCAGTCTCGGGCTCAATAGCAGCTGCTGGCTCGATACCGGTGTGGGTTGGTGGACGCGCTTTGTGTCTCTGTTTCAACCCCTCGAAGCCTATCTTCTTCTCTCCCGCCAATTTGATCCGTTCCTGATCTAGTTCCTCTTCAAGGGCTTCTTCCCATTCCTCCAGCGTTCTAGGGGATACGTAGTCGAGAATATCCATAGCAGGGACAAGCAGGCTCGCGGCAGGAAGATCGTGCCACCCAACTATATACGTCATCTGCTTAGGTAGTGGTTTGCCGTCAGCGGCCAGACCAGGTGAAGGCAAAAGAATCCGTTCGACTATATATGCGCTGGATGACGCGGGCGGCAGTAGCCTCAAGGGCTGCAGCGCCGGGCCACATCCTGGGGTATATTTCGGCGGTGCTTTGATTTCTATCACAAATGTCGGTTTTGTCGATGTAGGCTCTGGTGCCGGTGTCGTTGATGCGGATGACTGTGGCTCTTCGTCTGAGCTGCCTCTGACCAGCGTGGTTTCCATTTTTGTAGTGTGATAGGCATCCTTGTGCCCTCCTTGTGCTCGAGCGCAACTGGGTAGCCCAGGGTAAGAAGGGATGCCTGAGCTGAGCTTCACAGGTTTGAGCAGCCGGAATTTCGCGTTTCCCCCCCTTCGTTTTAAGGAGATGAAGGACGTGCCTAACCTTGGCGCGAGATTGCAGGCACGGGGCCAAGGGCGGGAATCGCAAGCGTGTTGATGTCGACAAACTAAAGGAGGAAGTGGTCGTAGTTGGGTCAAGTCTGGTTAGCAATAGTAGCTTAGCACCGGCCGCATTGTCGGCAAAGCCTTAAGCAGTCTGGTGGTAATGGGCGACAGGTGACTAATAGGCCCAATCATGCCAGCCAATAAAGTCGCCTCGCAAAACCTCACCAGTACTTGGCTGGGGGAACAAGGCCTCACGCAGCAGGCTGTTCTCAAGCTATTTTGAGATTTTAGTAACCCGAGGCCAGAGTCTAAGTTACCAGGAGATGATAAGGCAAGAAAACATCAAATTAAACCCTTTACGGACGATGTTTCATTTTTCATCAGGGGGGCAGGCAGAAGCCCTTAAGGCTGCGTCTTGTTGGAGGCCTTGGCGCCTGTAACGGCTGCATGAGTGCCTGGCGTTCTCTAGTCGTGTATTGCTCGGCGGGCTCACTTGGCTCTTTTTGCTAGGCGCGCTCACGCCCCACCAGGTACCTACACCCACTGTAGTTCTCGGGCTTTACATTATAATATATGCTTAAGTACATGTTAGTATACTTCACGGTACGTAAATATATTATACAATAAATTACCCAAGTCTACATGGGGAGAGTTTATATCATACAGGATATAAAGGGGCATTACACATAAATACTGTGGAGTTAATAGTGGGAGGATGAGCGCACCTACATGTAGCAAAAAGAGTTCTGGTGATCCCGCCGAACAATAGTACCGGACACCTCTGAACCCCAGTGGCGCACCACGCATGCGGAGTGCAAGCTTGGCAGCCAGTCACGCCTGGCCGCTAGCAAATCGACATGCTGCAGCGCGGGCGTTTCCCAACCAACATTGAAGCGACCAGCATTTTCTCCAACTCCGCCCCCAGATCACGAGCGCCAGCAAAAGCTCCCTCCCAAACCCCAAGCTTGAATGCCGACCGAACCACTATCAATGCTGTAACAGAGCACTTGACGGGCGTGTTCATATTCCCACCATGTCTTCGTCTCTGAAATCTCTGGCTCTGCGCGTGCCCAGAGCAACTTCCAGCAAGTCTCCTACGGCCATTATCCGATGCTGCTCGAAAGCTTCCATGTCGACCGCCACTCGACCGGCCGGCCTCACAAACGCCGCTCCCTCGCAACCGAGTAGCTATGCCATGTCCATGAAATTGCACAGCTACAGCCTTGCTGCATCGAGCAAATCCGTTCTTCGACTTGTTCCGAGGGCCCGCACGACCTCACCTATGACGATTACCTCGCAGGCTCGATGCTTTGCCAGTGCCGCCTCATCAACGTCCAGCTCGGGGACTTCCTCCGGGGCAGGTGCCGCTGCATCCAAGTCCACTCTAGACTGGGACTCTTTCTTCAAGTTGCGACTTCGCCGTCGACGTATCCAGCTGTTCTTCTCCGTAACGACGGGCTTGCTTGGTGGTGCCGGTGGTGCCATTCTGCTGTCCACGGGCATGGCGGAGCCCGTGGTGATGCAAATTCCTCTGGACCCCTTCGTCACACTGGGTCTCATGACGCTGGCTTGTGCTGCCATGGGGTGGCTCGTGGGCCCTAGCATTGGAAACCAGGTGTTTTACCTTCTCAACCACCGCCTGAAGGCCCAAATGATGAGCAAGGAGACGGAGTTTTTTGCCAGGGTGAAGAAGAACCGAGTTGATCCTACCAACTCCAGTGCAGGTAATCCAGGTACGGTTTAGCTCATTTATCTGTTTAACGATTTCGCCGAGAGATGTGATCTAATCATTCTGTAGTGCCCGATTTCTACGGCGAAAAGATCCAAAGCGTCTCCGGATACCGACAATGGCTCAAGGACCAGCGGGCCTTCAACAAGAAGAAGACTAGGGCGTTTGTGTGAAATTTCTGCTCAACGGTAGAAATTCCATTCGTTCAAGATGGACTACGGACAAGGGAAAGACTATGTAACATTTGAAGGAAGGTCGTTGTCACAACTACGTAAAAGTACGGGGGGAGAACTTAAACCAGGAGACAGAATAATGTGCCCCAACTTTCGTTGTAGCAATATAGGAATATCTCATTATCGTGTATGCTTACTACTGTTTCGTCCTACTTTTCAATGGCTGGGTGTTGTGTAGGTAAGGTTATTCAAAGAAACGGTAGTGAATCATCAACAGCATCTTTCCACGACCGCAGCCCGCCCGAGATGTCTCCAACGAAACGTTGCCCATTGCGATCTAAACCCAACTCCTTTAATTTGGCAGCCGCAATTTGTGAATCGTTGCCGACCCGACACACAACATATATCGGCACATCGGCAGGCAAATCCGCGGGAATGCCCTCAGGCAGTGTCTCACCGGCACGATAACTCATGAACCGACTTATGGGAACGTTGATAGATCCAGGAATGTGCGATAGGCTGTAATGTTCCTTCCCCCTCACATCGACCAGCACATGATCCGCGCCGCTCCGAGCAAGACCCTGATACGCCTCGGCCGTGATGCGGTCCTCTTCCCGCAGCAACTGCACCGGCCTCGTCACACCACAAAACTGCACATAATCCATGGACGATCTCAGGTAATCCAGCGTCAGCTGTGCGTTTTCGCCACATGCAAAGCATTCTTTTCGTCTGCCTCTCATACGAACCGATCTGAAGGGTGAACTATCCGCCATGCCACTGAAGAGCATCATCGTCTGTTGAATCTCTGGCACGGCAGAGTCATATGCTTCCAGGCCGCCTCTGGAAATAAGCTTGATGGCTTCCAGCGCTTGCAGGACGCCCATGACGCCGACGACGGGGCCGACGATGCCGCCTTCGCCGCAGCCGACTACACTCTCGGGGGGAGGCGGCTTGGGGAACACGCAGCGGTAACAGGGTCCCTTGCCAGCCGGACTATTCAGCACAATGAGCTGTCCCGAAGTCTGGAATGCAGATGCGGACACGAGCGGTTTCCCCAGGAGGACGCAAATGTCAGATATGAGGTAGCGAGACGTCGGGTGATCGGTGCAGTCAAGCACCACATCATACTGCGAAACAATGTCCTCTGCATTTTGCGGCGTGAGATGGGCAACGTGTGCCTTGTAAGAGACGGTTGGGTTTAATCTGCGGAGCAGTCAGCAAACTAGTAATGGCATGCAAGTGGCTTTTTGGGGAGGCAAAGAAAAAAGTCGGGATGTGCATTACTCGCGAAGAAAAGTGATTGCACTCTCAACCTTGGCCATGCCCACGCGAGCAGTCGAATGGGCAATCTGTCTATGCAAGTTGGATACTTCGACCTCGTCTCCATCCACGAGCCCGAGAACACCGACACCTGAGCCGGCAAGGTATGCGGCCGCAGGACAACCGAGCCCTCCCGAGCCGACGAGCAAGACTTTTGCGTGCTTGAGTCTCAGTTGGCCTGGATCACGGCATTAGTTTTTTTATTCTACTTCAAACTCATCTTGCCGCAATGGTGGCAACAAACCATCCAGCCCGAAGTTCGGGACAATCATCTGTCTCCCGTAACGCTGGTACTCGTGTTCTTCGAGAGGCCATTTCCAATTCAGTTTGGGACTGGCTTGTCTTTGCTGAGCTTCTGCGGTGGCGAGACACGCCCTGAGGTCGGCTAGTTCTGATTCACGGACTGCAATCTCCTTTCGGAGATGTTCTATATTCTCCATCTTCTCCATCGATAAGACGGCTGAGACGCCATATAAAGCCCTTATCTCAAGGTGATATCAAGGGCGTCGAGCAAATGAGTCCCAGATTGTGGTGTAGACGATTCGCAATGCAGGGTAGGACAAAACCCGTCAAACGGCCCAGAGTCAAGGCGACAAGTCACAAAACACCAAGCAGTTGGCCCCACCAAAAAAGTCGAACGACTCCTGTCGCCATGAAAGCGTTCGTAGTCTACTTCCCACACCAAACTGAACCACATAATCGCAATGGTAAACCGCCCCTACACATCGCCTCTGCAATAGGAGTACTCGAGAAGCTAACAGAAAAAACTCTCCCTCCAGGCTCCCCTTCCCCCAACCACCGGCAAGGCGCCATCCGCGCGAGCGCTGCGCATGCAACGCATCACCGGCCAAATCCACCCACTTCTCCCATCCAAGGTCTTCCGTACAGACGCCCATGTCTCAGATGACTTTATCAACTCCAAGCGCGACAAGCGCATCATGAAGCACTCGTCGTTCGTATCGAGAATCACATCCTCTAAAATCGCAAAGAACAAGCGTCGTCGCCCGAAAAATAAGCTCAAGACAACGTTGGAGGGCCTGGCTGATGCGCTGCCGGAGCTAAAGAGCGGCGAGGGAGGCGAAGAAGTGCTCGCGGGCAGGGTGAAGCACAAGAGCTTGAGGAGCAAGAAAGGAGCACTGAAGAAAAAAGAGAAAATCGTGAAGGGGGAGATGGAGAGATTTGGGGCTAGCATGGCGAAGTTGTCGGCCATGCATCGGCAGGATGCTACGAGAAAAACAACACAGGGTAGGGCTGATGAAGATGGCCATGTAGAGGACAGCGGCGACGACGACGACGATGATGAAAAGATGGCAACGGAAGCTCGTGCTGAGAAAAGTATTTCGCAACAAATGTCGACCACGACACCAGCTGCTACATCAGATAGGTGGGCTGCTTTGAGGGGTTATATTTCGGCAACTATGGAGCAAAACCCTGCCTTTGCTAGGAAATAAGACGAAGGTATCGCAATGCTTCTCGTCTCACAATATTTTATGATACCATGCTGGGGATTGGGGGGGATCTTTTCATGTAAAAGAGTTTTGCGGCCTTCCACTACCGACATTTTCACACCGCGTCTATGTAATGGAGTTCACGGCGCAAGGGTAGTAAAATCATGTTTTGCAGCAAAAGGAATAGTTTGATATTTGCCGAATTTTAATATCATGCTTCCGTAACTCGTGCCATAGCTCCATGGTGCATCCTATCACCATGTCTCCCTTGGAGCTTTGGATGTGCCTTAGGTTCTCCCCAAACTTCCCATTACTTAATTCTCTAGTTCCTAGACGCCATTGACATCAACCATCCGTCCTTTGTAGCTGCGTAGACATTAACAAAAAGTCACCACAATGCACCCATGCCAAGTGGTATGTCTTTTCAGCCCGTCACAACGCCAGCGCTCTACCGAAATATTCATAAGAATACTCATCCAACGCCACAAAACAAGACAAACGAAAAATAGAAACACACGCAGAGAGAGAGAAAAACGTTGATAAAAAGTACAAAACAGGAAATGCTGAATCGCTATTGCACAAATATGATGCGTCGAAATGAATTCAAACGAATGCAAAGAAACCTGCCAAAATTGGGGAGAATGGCCACCGCATGATTACATGCTCATTCGTCTTGGCCAACTCGGTGTGGTAGAAGGGGGACGGGAGCTGAAAGTCTATTCCAGAGCTGCCTGTAAACGCCGTTTCGCCCTGATCGTCAACGAAGTGATGTTTGCTTGTTCCGGACATGGGCTCGGAGACGTGACAGGGTGATAAGAGCCATCGAAACTATCACTAGAGGTGCTGTTGCTTCGTGAGCATTGTTGATGGCGTCGGGGATTGCCTTCATCTGTCTCCACCCGATCCGTTGCGGAAGCCTGTAACATGCTGACCTCGCGAGTTCGAGAAAATGTGAAGATGCTGGGGCCAGTAGTGGTTTCATCCCCGGGCGGGGAATCGCTGCTGTCTTGGTGGTTCGAATGCAGGCATTCTGACTGGGTGTGTTGCCTAAAATGTATGTATTGGCGCACCTTGGATCGGATGGAACGCGGCAGAGAGCTGCCTTGACTATCGTCTTCGCTGACTTCATGATTCCCCTCTTCCGTTTGCTGTAGTGTTTGTCCAGGTCTAGTGCGGGTGCCATGGCGAGCCGAGCTCTATTCAATCCGCGGAGGCGTCTTGTTAGTAAATGGGCTTGCGCTCCGCCTGTAGAGTGATACGTGTTAGTTGATTGCGCCGAGTAATCTGTCAGATAGACACTTACGATCGTCTACGTTCTCCTTCCTTGCGAAGATTCTCAATGATGCGCAACATTTCTTTCCGGCCGCCGTTACTATCGACCATTTTGCCCGCCATGCTCATTGAGACCTTTTCTCGAGCATTGGCACTTAGCAGGCGCTTGACCAGCAAGTGGCGCATCAAGAGACAGACGAAAACGCCGCAATCGCTGCCATTCTCCTGTTGCGGCGAGTCCTCAAGGTTGATAAAACGCATTTGTCTTCCAACAACCTCGCCCATCCGTCGTGTAGCCAAGTTCGCCTCCGCGAAGTTTGCTCCACCGAGTGAGTCGTAGTGAAATGCAATGCCATCCAACAGTGACACCAGCAGCAGAGACCAATGGCTGCCACCTTCGGCAACACCCACGTTGCGATTGTCGTTGATGGGAAGGAAAACGTGGGTAACTTTGGAGAAGTCCGGCAGCGCAGAGCGTACATGACGAATATCAGGCTCCTTCATCAGAAGGAAACTCATACTCGGACGTAGCAGCACAATTCTGGCTTGAGGGTAACGAGGTAAGGTCTCCCGCTCGAGGTACTCTTCCCAGAAGGCAATATTGTTATCCGTAAGCCAGTCATTTTTAAGCGACTTGATGTCTTCAACGGTTAACAACACGTCGTAGTAACTCAAGTAGGATTTTTCAGGAGAGAGCTATCTCGGGGAATAAGTCAGCAAGATTGTTTTGGGAAAGCCAAGAGGTTAAAATCTGTAGGGACTCTGGTTGTCCACATCCGTGTCAAATAAGAGCAGGAGAATAGTAGAGGGGGAGGGGGACCAGGACGTAAAATAAATAAATAAAGCGTGTACTTTGGACGTGTGCACAGACACTATAAAGCACGACGATGATTTGGACAAACAAACTTCTGGGTAACATGACGCGTGCAGTATTCCGACTGAGCCTGGAGACCATAGTATGGAACAATCATGGTCTTTTAACGTACCGAATCGCCAAAATGGCGGGCCATGCGTTGTCGAAAGGGCATTTTCTTGGTTGTGGTCTCGGATCTGGTCTTGGAGTATTCGCCTCCCTTGCTGCCAGCCTCGACTCTGCTCTCAGGTGGAATAGAGAGCGTGGAACTGGATGCGTCGGAGAAGCTGGAGCTGTTGTGATGCCTCGAACGAATAAACGACAAGCCGTAGAAGCGGGTGCTGTCGAAGAAGGGGAAAAAACCAGAAGAAGCAGACGGGGTCCTTGACGATGATTGAAAAGCGGGGCACGGACCCAAAGTTAAGCCAAGGTCGAGCCTAGTGGGCTTTTGCTCGGCTGATGACAGTGGGATGGGGAAAGGTGGTTGAGGCAAAGTGGATACATGCAAGTGTCCAGATGTCAAGTATGGTCGCTGGATGGAGGGACGGGGGCTGGGGGCATGAGAGTCTCACGCCTGGCAGCCCTTGAGCACCTGAGCGCTTGAGTTCGGCTGTCGCGATGGGCTGTCCAATGGCCCCTCGGTCTGTGCGCGGACGAATGGCATGCGACCGCGGGGGAAGCTTGGATAACAGACAAATAAAGATTGATGATGCGAAACAACGCAGCAGGATTTGAAAAAGAGATGGAGGGAGTCAGAGTGTAGCGCACCTTTGGAAAGTCATGGGCGAGGAAGGAATGAATGACTGTCAAGAGTGGTGTGTGTGACTGAACAATTAGGTGAACTTAGGCGATGGGCTCATCAACTGCTATGAGGGCCACGAACGAGCCCATGCACCAGACGCCTACCAAGCTCTCAATCGAGCTAGCCTGACTCTTTGGCTTTGCATCTGGGCATCCAGGCTAGTGTGGCTTGTAAGGCAAGACGATGACGATTGTTGCGGCTCAGCCCCCATTGATTGTCCCCATTGCCGCCGCTCGTCCTTTTGACCACGCCCCGATTGGGTGTTACTCTTCTGTTCATTTGAGATACCAACTTCAACGTTCCTTTGTGCCGAGCATGGTTTCAGAGATGCTCAGTACAGGCGAGTCCAAGCGAGAAGATGTAATGACGTTTGTATCCACGACTCAACCCATGTGCTTCCTATAAAAACGCCATGTCGACTCTTTGTGATCATTGGGGTCGACGTCAGGAGCCGAGACTGCCCTCATTCCTTGTGTACAGACCTTGTAGCCCCCCTGGACGTGTCTCCCATGATTCCGAGGGATTGTCTACTATCACCTACCTGCCTAGGCAGTTTGGTGGTAGTTATTCGATGCCGTCAAGTCTGCCGGCCGATCAATTGCTCCTCTCCCGCTATATCTCTGTGTACTGTCGTAGTTACGTGTTGTAAGGAAAAAGAAGACGACCAACCAAAATAAGACCTTCTCTTGTTAAACAATACGGAGTACATGTATGTACATGTGCCTCGGTGCCCCGCCGCCACTTCCCCGCAGTCGACGACTCATCAACCCAGCGTGCCAGCGATTCCGAAGTCTGGTGAGGAAAAAAAAACTCCGACTTGAATGCCACCATCTTGTCACGTGCCCAGCTTTTTGTGCAGCAGGCCTGAAATCTTTCACCGTCTTTCTTCTCTTTGAATCCTCCTGGTCACCTGCATTCACCCTCCCAGCTCTCTCCATCGTGATGTGTGCATTTTGCGCGACGGGGCGACGCCAAACACTCTTTGCCCCTCCTTCCACCGCCATCGTCCGTTTCCCTGAAAGAATATAAAACATCTCGCCCCTGTTGGGATGTGCGTGAAAGATAAATGCGCTGTTTATCTTCAGGATTTTGACGTCTTGGTCATTCGTCAACGCCAGGCTAAGATAGTGGGAGCAGAGGGGCAATTGATCGGTTGGCTGAACTTGACGACATCGAATGACTACTTCTACAGTGGGCGGCAAACAGTATCTAACCAGATCAGGTACCTGGCTATCGCGCTCTATACTATAATATACTATTGACATCATATTAGTGTATACGTTTCGGTGGGCAAATATATTCTGCCACAGACTGAAGGTAGCTATCTAGGTAGGTGGTAGTAGTAGACAATGCCTTGGAATCATGGTAGACACGCCCGGGGGATTGCAGATGAAGCATATATCAGCTGTGCATAAGGAATGGTGGCAATCTCGGCTCCTGACGTCGACTATAATAATCACTGAGTTGAGATGGCGCTTTTATAAAAGGCGGACCACCCGGGATCTTGGAAATTACCTACCTAACCTAACCGTGTGACATCTACCCCCTCTGGCGTTTTCCCCTTTTTTATCTTGGTTATATCGAAAGCACGCGAGACGATACAGCGATGCCTGTCTCGAATTAAACAATCAGGGCGAAGAGTTGACAGCCATTCTGATGTTCCGATTAAGTCTCGACTACTTGACCCTAGAGTCGCTGGGCGATAATGAGGTGTAGGATGGGGGGTTTTTACAGTTGCCGCTCGTAATACATAGAGTTAGATAATTACGTAGCAGGATTTATCTCAGACTGGCATGAAAAGGTTATTGACCAAGTGGACTGCAAATTCAAGCAAACGTGAGAGTAAACACTCGCCATCCAAGAAGTCAATATCGTCTCCCTCCATCGGCAGCTCCATGGCGCAAAATAATGCCCGTAAGATGTTGTATTTGGACTTTATCGATCTGGCATACTGATACACTAGCTTAATGAGTCTTGGTCGGTTATACTTGCCGTTGTTGTCTGGATGTTATTATGAAAGTAATCGATAATCTGATGAAAGCCCTCGTCGGCTTGATTGCGAACGTTAGCTGTGAG